TTTGTACCAGCTACGCCCAACTCACGGTTACGGAAGGAATACCAGACAGAAATAAAGCAGCAAGGTTTCAATATTAAAGTGGTGGAGAAAGCCGGAATCGCCATTAAACGACTACTCCAAAAGTCCGACCCATTTAAACCGCGACAGTGTGGACGAGAAGACTGCCCAGTGTGTAGCACAGGTGGAAAAGGACCGTGTGATAGAGAAAGTGTGACGTATGAGATTAAGTGTATCCAGTGTAACAGCGTATACGTAGGGGAAACAGCCAGGAGCGCGTATACCAGAGGGAAAGAGCATACGAAATCACTTAACAATAAGGAAGAACGATCTGCATTGTGGAAACACTGTAAAGAGAAACACAATAGAGAGGTAAAGCAGTTCCGAATGGATGTGACGGGGGTTTATCACAATGACGCGATGCTGAGACAAATAACTGAAGGAGTGAGGATAAATAATGTGAACGAAGACTCGCTTATGAACTCCAAGAACGAATGGAACTTTTTTCAAATCCCACGAGCTGTGATTGATACATCATGACCGCTTACATGAAGCCTGGAAGAAGTGTGGACATTTCAGAGTCACTTATATGAACAATTATTTATGAGTATTTTAAACATGGCGGAGTACTACTGATGAGGATCGTAATTGATCGAAATCGATTTGGAATTCCGCTACATTTTTACAAGTGACTTTTTATATACCATTTTACACGTTTTTACAATTCTTGTATTCGTTTTATAGTAGTTTTTAGTGCGTCGAACGTGACTACGAGACGTTATGTCTAGCAAACTGACTCAATTTTATTGTACAATTTATTAACTAAAGAAGGTTACAAAATTCTGAAAAGAATTTCCTTTTTTCTGGTGAAAACTTGCAACAGTGCAAGGAACACCAGGAAAGAAATGATGTTGAAGTTAACAGCATGTAATAGCAAAAACAAAACAAAACAAAACAGAACAAACAATAACGGATAAGATAGAACCAGAGGGCTATGGGTTAATTGATGAAAGAGTGCTTTGCATTTATCAGGAAATCCTACAAAAACAATTTTCCTTATTCAAGGTGCGCCTGACAAACCGACCATCACAAATGAAGATGGTGAAGTTGACGTGGATTTCACTGTAACCTGGTCAACACCACAGGCTAATGGTAGCAATAGGAACACTGAATACAGAATAGAATGGAGGAAGGAACTGATGGTGGGGTCTGTAGAAGTTCGTAAAATAGAAAACACTGGGAAAACTTGCTTCAAGATCACAGGTCTCGAGTATAACTCAAAGTATGAAGTGAAGCTTTTTGCTGTCAATACACAGGGAGACAGTGAACCGGATATCAGAACATTCAAGACAAAGATTGGTATGACTAGCTGCATTTGTCATTTTCTGTTGTAGAAGAGATATCTTTTTACTTTGCTTTCAGATGGCCCCACAATCCTGGTTCAGTTGTACACAGGCCCTCAATAGCTACGTTCGTGATGTATACGAATACTAATTGGTTCTTTCTAAGGAGGCAACTGCACTAATCAAAGGGTTTAATGATATCGTATCTGCGCGAACCATAAATATCGCATGGCAGAGGAAGAAGCGCAACCCTTCCCTTTACAAGATCAAAGAAACCGTTCTCTGCAGTGCCTGCCACACATCTCTTACAATTTGAACTCTGACAGTTAGGTTACAGTATTGTACAAAAGTTATGCAAACGCCTGTCGATGTTATTCGACAAAATTTCTGGCTTTCGATAAGGTTTGTTCGGAAAAGGATTTTTGCGCGACAGTTTGGCAAATTTTCGTGGCAGCTATTGTTTGGGTTCATCAGAAATTTCACAGATTAATTCACTGGGAAGTTAAGAGAGTTATCGAGATTTTGAAAAAACGTTTGTTCCCCTTGAAAATTCGCGGGGAACTTTTAAGAGAAAATTTGTGTTTCATGACTCACAAATACTGTGTTTGTGAAGGTTAACTACTTCACGACAGTATTTAGAATCGACCAATATCTTCTGCTGGATGTTTTGCTTTTGCCGTTCTCCCTGAAATGTATTGATAATGTTAAGAAACAATTCCTCTTTGGTCACTCTTTAGGAGTAAAAGATATTTGGGCACTTTCTCCAGGCGTGTAGATAGGAGGTTACAGGATGGAGTGTCTGGGCTGGAAAATATATAGGGGATTCTTTACCTTTTTTTTTAGTTGTTAAAAGGTTATTTAAATCTGCGGATACTTTGACTTTCATTGACGAGAAAGATTAACTTCTGTTTAACAAGATCACTGTAAAAAAGCAATCCATTTCACGATCTGTTGCCGCTAAAACGGTTGAGAATACTAAGGATAAGGGGACATGAATTCCAACTCCCCTATAGATGAACTGAAAGATACAAAAACTTGCTTTTTTTTTAAGAGACATCTTTTTAAACGTGTGTGGTCATATTCCGTTTTGTTTGATTGTTCCTTTTTAGATCTTTTTATATCTTGTTATAGATTTTAAATTGTATCTATTATTTCTGATTTCGACTGTTAAGACTTATTTCCGTCAGTAAAGATTTTATCATGATCACAAATTCATTTTGAATTAAGACATGCACGATGAATGTGAGAATAATATCACACTTGGACGTGATTTGAAATATATTCCATATTGAGATCACTCAGAATTTCAATTATTAAACTTAAATGAGATAAGGTCGCAAGAAAAAAAACGTGAAAGAAGCAATATATATGCATTATTAACCAAGTGTAGGGTCAAGATGGCTGGATATTGGCCGAGTTCTTTTTTGCATTTTTATGACCGAGACGAAGTCGAGGTCCATAACAATGCGAAAAAAGAACGAGGCCAATATCCAACCTTCTTGACCGAACAAGCTTGGTTAATAAAGGATTTATTATGTTGTAAAAATATTTCGCTTTATTAAGAATAAAGAATGACTTGTTTACTTCGAGAGCCAGGAAAGAAAGCCAACCATGTTTGTAGCAGAACGAACTCACGAGTGTTGTTTTTTTTTTTTGTTTTGACTATCTTCTGTCGCTTTTACGTTTTCATCGCTGAAATTGTCCAAGAGTTACGAACGTAATTCCAATTTTATTTTTTTTTATGCGCGGGATCGGTGCGGGCAATCCCGAGCGGGCAAGATGGGCCCATCTTGCCCGCTCGGGCTGCCAATCAGAACACAGAATTTGCTTCATCTTGCCCACGGGCGCTGCGTGCGATGTAATAATTAGTTCTTATTAACCGAGCGGGGATCTGTATAGGAGAATCTTGACCGAGGTCGCCAGTACTAGACCGAACGCAGAGAGGTCTGTACCAGCGACCGAGGTCAAGATTCTCCCATACAGACCTGGCTCGCTTAATAAGATGCTTATTATATGGCTGTGCCTTATATGCCAATTTGTTATATTCTTTGTACCTTTTTTTCTAGACCAGTCTAGATGCCGGTCTAGATGGGAAAATCTAGACTGCTTTCATTCTTGATTTCAGCCAATCAAATTCGTGAATTCAGTAGTTCCCAGACCTTGTGAGACACAGCCACATAATAAATGGTAATAATTTTCTCGTCAGAGAGTTTTGTTTGCATCTACTCATTGTAAAACCAGGTCTATGTTTAATTAGGTAAGCCCCAATTAGTGTAATTTTCTAACATTTTAATGGGTCAAATACCTATGCAATGAAAAACCAAGTAAACTGTGAAAAAATTAAATTGACTTTCTTAACAAATCAACAGGTGGTTTGATGAATATTATTGTTGATGTAGCCAGAGCAATATTTGGTAGGCGCCAAATGGCTCAGCGCGAGATGGAATCTGCTAGAACTGAGAAAATCCTTGGCTTGATTGCTGAGAATTACCTCCAGACTACACCACCACAGTCGAGTGAAGAGCATAATCGTTTTAAAACATACTTGACAGAAATGAAGGTGCTCCTTACAGGTGTCTCTAGAGGAAGTTTGTTGATAACGGTGAGGTGTGATTCTCTTGAAAGCTTGGAGAGATTGTGGGAAGAAAACTCATGCGGCCATTTGGATAAGATGGTTCAAGATTGTTTTGTTACTGAAAAGGTCATGAAGGAACTGCACCTGGTAGAGCTTAAGCTGAAGACAACAATGGACATAGAGGAGTACAATGCATGCAAAGTGTACTTTGAAAGAGATGCACTCAGAGGTCAGTAAAAAGAGACTAACAAGGGCCTGGTATTTTCATTAAATATATGTAAAGGCTGGTCAATGTAATGCTGTAATTAACTAATGTGATTTTTATTTCAGCTCTAAAAAGCTCCTCTGGTAGACAGTTTTCTCATTCATCTATGGAATCTGGACAGCATCCTCTTTCTTCAGCCCTTGGAACTCAAGGCAAATCTCTTCAAGGGAGAAGTCACACTCCGGGTTAGTGAAATTACAGTTAAGGCTCATGGAATGTGTAACATCTCTTAAGGTAACACATGTTCTTCCGTATTTTTAGATGAAAGATAAAAACCTTGGATTTCTTATTTTGGGCTTCGCAACCTTTGAGGCAAATTCAATTTTGCGAATCAATAATGTTTGACAAGTTGTAACTGCCACAGATCTGCGCATAAATTTCGCGTAAACCGAAAATGATTTTTCTCTGATTTTGTAGATAGCATGGCCAGCGGAAACACTTTGAAATATTAGATATGTATCACATTTTATACTATGTTTCTTCGCAGAATCATAGCGGTAACCTCTTTCGTATATCAGGCATTTTTTGAAAAATTGCTGCTCATCATAACAATCAAATGGAATGTCAATCAAAATCAAGTCACACCCGCCAAAGGATACCTTATTAAAGGACATTAATGCTCCATGAAATTAAGGTGTTGGAAATTAACGCGACTTAAATTAACGCGAATTTAATGGAAAACGAGTTTCGATTAAAGAAAATTAACGCGAAAGAGGAAGTAGAACTTCAGAATAAAGGAAATTAACACGACTACGACAGTTGGTGGTGACAACTGGTACAAATTTATTTCAACACTGGATGCCAAGAAATTTAAAACAGCGTAAAACTGAGCCATGTGCTCGACACAACAGTACGCAAGATTCTAGAGGTAGGGGTTACTTGACGGAATCTGGTCATTTCTAGCGTTTTTCACGCAGTCCATGATACCGGCCGATCTCCACCCCGATAAAAATAATGCCTTTTCCTTTATCTGTTAAAAGCCATTCGTAGACTTCTTTCGTTAGCTTGCCATGGCAGGGCTTCAAGGTTGATAACTTCAAGTCAATTTCAATCGTTGTAACATCTTTCCAGGGGCTACGCAGCATTTCATTCGTGATTCATGATGTGAAATATTCACTAAATGCACGTTTCTCCATGTTTTTGACAGCTCCATATGTTGAGAGATCAGTGGTTGGAGATGTGTCATGTTTTTGGGCACCATGACACTGATAATGTTTAGTTCTTTTAGTCGCTCTTCAACAAGCTTCGATGACTGGGCTTTAAATGCATCCCAGATCAAAACGGTTCGGGCATTCTCATCAAGGCTGAGTTTTGCCTTCGGTCGCTGAATGTAAGGGTGAAGAACATCATTTATCAATCATAAGGTTTCCGTTTCGTGGCTCCAATGTTTCTCGTTGTAGGACCAACAAAACTCTTCTGGAAAGTTTGTGGCTGACACAGATTTAGCTGTTTTACCTTGAGAGATTAACTGCAATGGTAAAACAGATCCATCCAGTGTTTCTGCTGAAGTGAGAGTCATGCACCGTTTGTCACTTCTTCCTTTCTTGGCCACCTGTTTTGAATTGGTCTCTGCCATTGTTACATTCTCTGTTGGGACAAATTTTGACGCTGTTTGATCTACATTAATGATAAGCTGATCTGGAATGCTGTGTGTTGAAACGGCTTCTGCAACTACATTAAGAAACGGGTATCGCGTTTCAAGCCATAATTTTTGCGTAACTGCCGGTCGGGAGGTAGTCGCAATTCTGCGTGTGAACCCCATTCTGGTGTACAGAGATTGCACCCAGCCATTAGTAATGCGAAATTCAAGGTATTGGCCATATTTTGCTAGATCGCTCTTGATCAGACCCATTAGAACACCATACAAAACATGTCTGTTTATGGTGCCACCGGCAGTTCTTAAGTTTATAATAAACGAGCGAAGCTTGAAATCCAGCTCATCTGGTAACAAAAGCGGCCTCCCGCACTTCGTTCCGATTTGCACATCTTGTGGCGCAATTTGCGGTGTGTTCTTTAACTACGAACGGTACTTAGAAAGCCAGCCACAGAGAGTACTTTCTGTTAACTTGGAAAATTCTTTCTTAAATCTGTTCACGACATTTGTCGTTCCGCTGTGTTTGGCATATTTGGCAATCTAGCATTTGTCTTCTTTCTTGTAAGTTGTATATTTCTTACAACGTCTTTCATACTTGCTATTACTGCGACCTTTTGGATGATATTCTCAAATTAACTCACCCACACTAATCGAGTATGCTGAAGACTACCCAGGAAAACTTAGGAAACTTAGAAGACTAAATGTGATATTTTCAGTGTTCTATTAACTGTGCAGAGATATGGAATGGCAAATAATGTCAGTTAATGAGATTTGCCAAGAGTTGAAAAAATTATGCTACAAGGTGCTCTCTTCTGTTAACAGTTTAGTTACTTGATAAACCGAAAGGGGGTTAATCTTAACAGACTTGTACCATAATCTAGCTCTCAGATAGGGAATACATAGGCATTTTTTTTATGACTTATATACTCATGTAGCCTTAAATCTGAAGGAAAGAAATGGATTGTTCTCTATGAATGAAATATTGTGTATAAATGGTACTTTCACACTACATTTAGTGTTCACTCTTCATACTCGTTAGTATGAATCAATAGACTTTTTGAGGGGAAATGCCTTTTTCCAATAACCAACTTAAGAATAAATGCCAGTAAAAATCAAAGAAATCGCGGACACAGCTCAAAATTCAATTTCGCCCATACTTTTTCCATTGGTAGGCTTTAGTCCAATACATATGACAGCAACGTTCGTTTGTTAAAATTCTCCCTTGTATAGGAGAAATCTAATTTAAACGGCTTACGGCAGTTTCTTTAACAAAATCTTCAAAATTGGCATAATTCGTGGCGCTGTCAAGTGAGTTCATCACAAGTCTTGAATTAGTTTCACATTAATCCTAATCTTCTGATACTTCTGCAATTGATTGGCAGCAGAACCAACTCATCACGTTTCCTTAAAAATAAAATATGATTTTTTTTTTTTTCAAGTGCACCAACAGCTGCTCTAAAATGGATTCGTTAGTACTTCAAACAAATGTGCCAAAAATGCTCGCGGTATGCAATGAAACCGACCACGAAATCTCCTTAGCCATGTTCAAGGATAGCTTCAACTTTCTACCGTTTTATTTCCCTGGGATCTTTGGTATATGTACAACAAGACATTCCTGAAGTAAGCCAAATTTCAATATCTGCCATTTTGAAGTCACCTCAGAGATATCCGCCGTCACACACATGTTTGCGGTGTAAAGTTTCCATTGTGAAGCTCCTCTGAATTCTTAAGCGAAGCAAAATCAATGGAATAAGTCAAATATGCATCAGAGCAAAATGTAGAGGTATACATAACGGAAACACTTCAAGAAACGTTTACAAAATCTGCTGACTCATCTCTCAACCCTGTCTTTACATGTTTGGCTCGTCATGACGTGTGTTTCGTGCAAAATTCTGCTTTCTCCTTTTCACATGCGACCTTTGCTGGGTAAGTCGGCCTCATGTTGGCGGTGTTTCCTATCAGAACACTTTTCGGTGTTGCGCTGGCAGACATAAAAACACCCGATACATTGCAACAATCGAGGAGCGTTCAACGGGGTTCGATCAGTTATCTGTTCTGTCACGCAATCGAATAACAGGCATCATCGAAGCCGTGACTGCATTCTTTTTAATGTTAGGAGAAGTAAGTTGTAAAAAGACCCACATATTAACTGCGTGCAAAGAATGAACCCAAATTTTCTTTTTTAAACATAGGGGCATTCTTAAGTTGAATGTTAGTCTCAAAGATTTGCTTTTTGCTTGACTTGCTCAGGTAGGCAACCTATCTCTTGACAAGAGACAAGTATATCATGCAATGAGCAACATTCCCAATTATTCATAGATGTGGACACGTAATTGGGTTTTTTGGCAGTTCGAATTTGAACAAAAATAACTCACCGTGAAGCAACTTCCTTTCCATCTATACCCAGTTATTTTCTTACCATTACGGTGTACCATAAAAGCCCACACTTTATCATCATGTCTTTGGTGTTCAATTCATGACAGCTTTGTTACAGTTGATGTTTTGTAATGTCACCAAGAATAATTCAGATAAACCATATCCTTACAGGAGACAATCTCCTCATGGCTTCTGCCACTCCATCATATCCTTCTACCAAAGAAACCTCTAATTATGCTCAGCTGTGTCGCCTTCTCGTCGATGTTGGATCATGTGTGTTAAGAGAGATCTTTGACAGGATATGTCCACCAGGACACCTTCAGACTGTTCTGACTGATGCTACAAATCGTGCAAAATTGCAAACACTGCGAAAGAAAAGAGTCCTGAGTACCTCCCAGTGGGGGAAACTGTATCCTGCTGTGAAATCATCAGTTTCCTCAATAAACTTTGAAAGCTCCCTGCTGATACTTCTTCTGAGGAACATTTGGGGTCTGACTCTCCCTGCCTCTGGCCGGGATGACCTTCCTCTGGTAACAGACACCACTCCAGCAGCTGACATCACTCGCATCATGTAAAAAAGGCCAGAAAGGAAGGTGACCTGGAGGATTCCATTGAGATATCTGAACAAAGTTCTGGGAAGGAAGGTTTGTTTGATTTACTTTTGTTGATTTGAAGTCTTTTCAATAATGTTAGATATAGTGAATTGGAAAATAAAAAGAATTTCTCCCAAAATTTCTATTCGAAAAGTCACACCAACATGCACATGCAAGTGAATTTTCGTTTTTTTTCTTGATGATGGGAAGTTATATTATTTTGTAAAAAACTCATAGCTGGCTAAGATATAAATTTGTACTGAAGATGATGAATTTGAAGCCTGATTATTTGAGGGAAATGTTGTTACTCAGCAAATGACACAGGCATGCATACTAGGAAAAAAATGGGAGCACAAGGAGTTCTTTTCTCTATGAGTATGCTGGTGAAATTTGTGTCTTGTTTTATCGGTTAGTGTGGGCATAATTAGAGGTTATTTCATGGTTGATGAGTGCGTACGATTTTTATTCGCGACGAGTGAATAAAAATCATACAGGCGAACTAACTGTGAAATAACTTATTCATTATATACATACCGAGATTCATAAGCGAACAGAACTCAGAGATAAACATATCTTTAGTTTCTTTCAAAGGAAAGTAACGTGCGGTCAAGCCGCCTTTCAGGAGTTGCACTGAAATTGTTTCCTTCTAAAATACTTCTTTACATCTTTACATCTAAATTATTAAGCGAAAATGCCGTTAAAAGGCAGAACTAGGTAGAGTAGATTAAGACATCCTGAAAATAATTTATGTTAAAATAGTTCTATGGAAGTTCAAAATTTTGAAATAAAGAAGTGAAAACCCGAGACTTACCTTGGTCCATTTGTCTCGTTTCACCTTTTTAACATCTTTATGTCATGATTTGATATCTTTGGATATATGTTTATTTAGTACATTTTTTCCAACTTTGTACCTTTTCAGTGAATTTGCTGGGGGAGGGGTAAGAATTACTTCTCGATTTTTCCTGCCTCACCGTCCCTCTCTCCTCTACTTAAAAGGAAATCAGGAGATTCCAGAAAGTCAGACAAGTTATTGAAAAACTAAGAAATCGACTTGTCTACTTAAGGGGGGTGTGTTGTTAGGGAATTTAAACTCATTACACCAGCAATGAATCTACTTACAGAAAGTATTTTACTTTCATCAGAGACAAAATTCAAAAGAATTATTATTTTGAACAGGTTTACCTGAGAAACCCACCATCACAAATGTAGAAAGTGAAGTTGACAAAGATTTCACTGTGACCTGGTCAGAAGTAGAGGCTAACAGCAGTATAACGT